TTGGGGAATTTGGGGGAATTTTGGGGAGATTTTGGAGAATTTCGGGTTTCTCGGGGGGATTTGGGGAATTTTGGGTTCCTGAGGGGGAAATTTGGGGAAAATTGTGGGGATTTTGGGAACATTTGGGGATTTGTGAGGAAATTTGGGGGAATTTTGGGGAGAATTTGGGGAATTTCGGGGTCCCGGCAGCATTTGGGGGTCCCGGGGCGGTTTTGGGGGGAATTTTGGGGAAAATTTTCGGGTTTTTGAGGAAATTTGGGGGGAAATTCGGGATTTTTGGGGGAGAATTTTGGAAATTTCGCGGTCCCGGAGAGATTTTAGGGGTCCCGGGGTGGGTTTTGGTGGAATTTGGGGAATTTTGGGTTCCCGGGAAGATTTGGGGATTCCTGAGGGGAATTTTGGGGAGAATTCTGGGATTTTTGGAGTCCCGGGAAGATTTGAGGGTTTCTGAGGGGAATTTTGGGGGAATTTGGTGAATTTTGGAGTCCCGGGGGTTTTGGGGGGTTCCTGAGGGGAATTTTGAGGAGAATTTGAGGAATTTCAGAGATTTTGGGGAAATGTGGGGATTTCTGGGGAGAATTTGAGGAATTTTGTGGGGTCTGGGTTGATCAGGTGGGGGATTTGGGGTGGGTATTGATTGATCCAGGGGGAATTTGGAGAGATTTGGGGAATTTTGAGAGTGGGGAGGGATTTGGGGAAAAACTGGAATTTTACGGGGAAAAATTGGGAATTTTGGGAGGAAAAGGAATTTTTTTGGGGAAAAAAGGGAATTTTGGGGATTCCTGAGGCGATTTTGGGCAGAATTGGGAGAGATTTGGGGAATCTTTGGAGTGGGGAGGGATTTGGGGGGAAAAGGAGGAATTTTGGGGGGAAAAATGGGAATTTTGGGCATTCCTGAGGTGATTGTGACCCTAAAACCCCAAATTTTACTCAAAAAACCCAAATTTTACCCCAGAAAAGCCTCCCCATGGCGGAGTCGCTGCAGAAGAAGCTCCAGGCGGAGCTGGAGAAATATCAACAACTGCAGAAAGGTGAGAGCCCCAAAAAAACCC